TCGTCCATCAATAATCTACTCGCAGTATCAATACTTGGAGGCGCTCGATTGTTCATTACCTCCATCAAACTTGTTGCCAAAATCGCTTTCTGTCATTGGTGTAGCAAATTTTATACTTTCTACCTTTTGAATCGCAACGTGGTGGTCATTGCCTTTAACAGAAAAACACCACAAACCATCAACAACAATGGTGTGAGTAGTATCATCTTCTTCAACTACTACTACTACACTATTATTTGGTGTAAAATTTTGATTGTTTGTTGAGTGGGTGTTCATATTCAAGCAAAGTGGTGTGTTATTTGGTTTTTTTGGATGACGATTTTCACACACAGCACCAAGCAAACTATTCTCATTTGCCTTGTTGTGCTTGTGGGAAATGAACCTTAGGGGTTTCGTATTGCAAGGATTACTATTGCATTGTGTCGCTTTCAAGTGCTTTTTAGTGTTGGAGGTCGATTTCTTTGGCGAAAGGCCTTTTCATTTTACCATTCTGATTCAGTGTGTCAATCAATGAGGATGAATTCAATACCTTATGAAATATTTGAAAGAAATTGCAGAGAATGAGTGGGAATAGTTCAGATTTTGAAGAAATATTGTTGGATGGTCATTTGTAAATATTCCATTTTTGAAACTTTTGCAATCTGAATTTAGCAAAAAAGAAGGTGAACACAATAAAAATGAGAAAGTAGACGAAAAGTTTCCAAAGTTCTAGATCTCGGGATAAAAGTATTTTAATTAATCTAATTATTTCACATCTTGTAGCCAGTCCAATTACGTCTGTTTATTGTCAATCTTCAATGAAAACTGAAGATCCAACAATAAACATCAACCATGAATAAATAAAAACATGAATCGCCCACCGTGGGGGTCGAACCCACGACCACAAGGTTAAGAGCCTTGCGCTCTACCGAATGAGCTAGACGGGCAGTTATTAAGGATAATTGGTCACACTAATCATTATTTCGGCCTTACAGCCATTTCTTAATTATTTAAAAGAGAGAAAGTATTGACAATGAATTTTATTTACAAAAGATTGAACATGATAGACACAACAATGGTAAGAAGAATATACACAGGACCATTGTTGGTAAAAACACTATTTGACTCACTAACTAGAGCTCTTACATCCAATGTATTGTTTTCATCCATGTAGCCATCAAATTCCAAAACCATTTGATCCATCAAAGAATCAACATTTACAGATCTAGCCATCATTGTGGATAAACTAGCATCTGTAGTTACTCCATTCTTATCCACAACAATAGAAATTGGACAAGGCATATCGAGAATGCAACCACATTTCAATCCTTCCCAACTATTCACAAATCTCTGAGCTAGGAATGTGAATAAATTATTGGCAACTCCAGTGTCAGGACTTGCATATTTCAAAGTGATAGACTTGTCGAGGAATATTCTGGCAGGTGCCACAACTGCGTAATGTTTACAATAGAGACGAGTGGAAGCAAATGCAACACTGGAAACTTGTGGTTGAAAAACAGCAGCTCTGTACAAGTTGAGTTTTTCAAGGTTTGCTTGATCATTGCTTCTTACCATTGGATTTCCTTTTGGAAGAAGAGCAATCGGTGCTTTTTGTTTCAATTTAGCATGAATCTCGTCCAATGCCAATGACTGAGTCAATTGACCATTATTGGCCAAATCAGGGGCCATGTATGGAGTGCAATTTAGAGCACGTGCCATTGCAACAGCTAACAATCTATTATCAGAACCATTTACCAATGTTTGGGTTTGAGCAGTTCCTCCAAGGGCTTTCAAATTAGCTGCAGTATTTTGACAAGTTCTACCTGCCAATGTCTTGTTTGTACTAATGATATAGGATGTAACAACGTTATCTGATTGATCCATGTCAACAATACCAAAATCTCTGACAGTCATACATGATTTTCCATCAAGTGCAGTGCCAAGTGCTGGAACTGGTGGATTAAAGAAGGAACCAGGATCATTGGTTGCCTTTTCCTTAATAATTTGACTGATTGATGTTTGGACAGCTTCAAAAAATTGCTTTCCATTGCATGAGGCGAATTGACCAAAAATATCATTTGCTCCATCAATACCATTGACACAATTACCTTGAACAAGTGAATTACTGGAATCAATTAAAGTAAGAGAACCAGCATTTGTAC